TCTCTCCAGCCTGAAAAGATTATTCTTTTTCTCCTGAATTGCCTTCACTGCTTTATTTGTTTATTTATTTGTATTTTGTGTGTATGAGTATTATGCCTGCATGTACACGTAAATGCACTCATGTCATGCAGTGCCTGCAAAGGCTAGAAGAGGACATCAGACCTTTTGGAACTGGAGTTATAGGCAGTTGTTAGCTGCCATGTGGGTAGCGGGAACTGAACCCAGATCCTCTGCAAGAATGGCAAATGCTCTTTACCTCTAAGCCGTCTTTCCAGCCCCCTTGCCCCTTCATCTTTGCTGGTGTTTAAAAGTAAGCTGTTTGGCACTGTTTCTGGGCAGGCTGCTCAGCTTCATTGATCTATTTCCCATCATGTCATCGGTTCCATGGGCTTGAACACGACAGCTGTTTGGCAAGTCTTGAAGTCAGGCCATGTCAACCGCTGACTTTGTTTCTTTGGTGTCAGCTAACAAATCTGGGTCCTTTGCCTCTCCATATAAAATTTAAAAGCAGCTTGTCAACATCCATGAAATAGCTTGCTGGGATTTTAGTGAAATTGTGTTGAATGCAAGGGTCAGGTTGGAAAGAGCTGAGAGGTTGACGGTATTGATTCACTTTCTCACCTATGAAGACAGAGATCTCTCCATTAACTTAGCTTTCTCTCTTTTCACCAAAGTTTTGTAGTTTTTCTCATAAATATTGCACTTTTGTCTTTAGGTTGCTTCCTGTATACTTGATCTTTTTGTTGCCAGTATAGGTGACACAGTACTATTAATCTCAATTTGAACTTTTCATTACTGATATGTGGGAAGGTTATTCAATCTTGCATATTAACTTTGCATTCTATAACTTTTGTGTGTGCATGTTTGAGTAGAGGGTAGTTGGCCCCCCACAGAGGCCAGAAATCGAGGTTGGGAGTCATCAGTCATTCTTTACCCTATTTTATGAAACGGGGTCCCTTACTGAATCTAAAGCTTGCCATCGAGGCAGGCTGTCAGCTAGAACGTCCCCATGACCTGTCTATCATCCCTAGCTCCAGCCCTGGAGTTACAGATGAGCACTACCATCTGTTTATGTGGGTGCTTGGAATCCAAACTCGGGTCCTCAGGCTTACCCATCAAGCACTTTTCCCACTGATCCATCCCTTACACCCATTCTGTGACCTTTCTAGGATTATAAGTCAATTGTAAGAGTTTTGCTATACTTTGTTGTTAGATCTTTTGAATCTGCAAAAGATAATCATGCTTTCCTTATAGACAACTGGACTTCTTTCTTTGGATCTGTGTATCTTTCTGTTGCCTTGTCCATCTTAATGAGCCAGCCAGGACTTCCGTTGTTAGGGTCGCTGCAGTGGTGAGAGGAACATCTTTGCTTTGTTGCTCTCCGCCTTATGAGGAAAACGTCTACTTTATCTCCAAAGAGTGTGATACTAGAAGTTTCTCTCTATTCCAAGTCTGTTTGCAACCATGAGTGGGTGTTCATGTTTGTTAAATACTTTTCACTGTCTAGCTGATTGATGTGACAGGTTACATTAATTAACTGTTGTTTTTTTAATTTTTAAGATTTTATTATTATTTGTGTGTATGTGTGCCTTGTACTCCTGCACGGGTGTGTGAGGAGGTGAGAGACTGACAGAGGGAGGGCCTCCTTAACCTCTTCTCCATCTCATTTTTTTTGAGACAGAGTCTCTTCACTGAACTTAGAGGTGGCCATTTAAACTGGACTAGCTGGCCAGTGGGGACCTAATATCTTCCACTGTCCACCCTCTACCCAGTGCTGGGGTTATAACCGTAGGACACCACACCTACCTTTTTATGTGGGTGCTGGAGAGCCTGTCTCAGTGCTTGTTTCATGCTTGCGTAGTAAGAACTCAACCCATCTCCCCAGCCTTTCCCACCTGCAGCAAATCCTACTTTATTGCGGTATATAACTTTAAATACACTGTTGGGATCTATCTACTAATGTTTTGCTGAGGATTTAAAAATTTCTGCTTATGAGTGTCATCTGTTGTTTTTGGCTGTCCTGTGCTTTTCTTTGGCTGAGAAGTTTTGTCTGGCTTCTATTAGGTTGGGGAGGACCTGGCAGATGGCACTATCTGCTCTTTCTACCCCTAAGCACAGCACAGAGCTCACTCAGAGCTTACTGGCCTTAGGGGGTAAATGTTGGAAGTGTTCCCTCTGCTTTTTTTATTTTGAAACAAGCATTTGAGCATTGGTATTATTTGTAGCTTAAATGTTTAGAAGAATCCACTGGTGAAAACATCTGGGAGGGCCTGGTATTTCTGGGTTGGAAGATGATTGTTTATCCAACATCTGTAACAAATAGAGACATTTCCTGATCATGTTTTTTCCTCACGTGAGTTTTGGTAGAGTGCATATTTCAAGAAATTAAATTATTTTTCTAAGCTTTCATATTTCGGGCTAAGAATTCTCGACACTGTTTCTCACTATCCATCACGTCTGCAGCAGAATTCCTGACGACCCTTCTTGCGTTTCTGCTAGCAGTAAATTGTTAACTTTGTTCTTTTCTTGTGCTCCTTTCTGCACTCGCTGAAAATTTATTGATTTTCTTGTTCTTTTCAAAGACCTGACTTTGGTTTCATTGACTTTTCTCTGTCACTTTCCTGTTTTCTGTTCTCATCTTTCCTTCTTTTCTTCTGTTGCTTTGGGTGCATATTGCGCACATACATGTAAAATACACACACCACACACAAATAAACTCCCAAGAGAAAAGATCTTGCCTTTAAAATATTTTATTTATTACTTTTATTTTATGTGTATGAGTGTGTTGCCTGTATGTGTGTGAGTGCACCCATGTCGTACAATGCCACGGAGGTCAGAAGAGGGCTTCGGATTCCCCTGGAACTGGAGTTAAGCATGATTGAAGCCACCATGTGGGTGCTGGGAGTCGAACTGGGTCCTCTGCAAGAGCAGCCGGTGCTCTTAACCACTGAGCCTTCTCTCCAGCCCCAAGGTCCTGCCTTTAAACAGATGCTCATAAGTGCTTAGAAATAGGCCTGGAGAGAGAATGATTAAGATTTTTTCATATTAATTGCTTTTTCTTGACTCTGATGTCTTTTTGCATGGTAAAAGAGCAAAGTAAGTTCCTTCAACCTCTTTTACAAGCACTAATAATCACTCATAAGGGTAGATACCTCGAGATGCAGTCACCCTGTGAAAGTCCCACCTCTTAATTCTACCATAATGCATCAAATGGTTTGTATGTGGTTGTCCTTCCAGGGGTACATGCTGTGTGCTAGACATCTAGTACGGTTGTGGTGAGATGATGGAGCCTGTAAGTGTTGGGGCTGATGGTTCCACCCTTGAGCATAGGGAAATGCTGTTCTCTAGGAGTGGGCTAACCCTGCAGGAATGAGTTATCATGGCCACCGTCTGTTCTCGGCCCCTTCTGCACACAGCTCATTTCCTTTCTGACCCTTTGCTGTGTTGCAAAACAGCCAGAGGGCTTCACCAGAGGCAGTGCCTTTTTGTTTGGGCTTTCTAGCTCCCAGACTTGTAAAACAATTAAATTTCATTTCTTTACTCTCAGCCCAAATGGTTTAAGGCTACAGGGTAAGATTCCAACATGAATCTTGGAGGAGTACAAAGATTCAGACCATTACAAAAGTAAATTGATTTTAAGTCTTAGAACTGCCAGCCCTTTAAATAGTTGCTCTGTGCGATCGTAAGAGATGAGTACATAGTGAGAGTCCATTCTTTCCCTTTTACAATATTCCACACAGCATCACTCTGTCTCGCCGGTTATTTGTAACTTCATCCTTGGTAGCTCCCAGCTCAGACCCTCGTGGTCTCCCTACACCACTTCAGTGGCTGCTCCCAGGCCCTCCCTTCCTCCATGATCCTGGGCGCAGTCGAGGCACATCTCCCTATAGCTGCCTCTAAGTGTGTCACTAACCTCTGCTATTTCAGAACTCTTACTGAACTCTTACGACATGTTGATTTCACAGTCAAAACTTCAAGAACCCCTACAATATGCCTGCACTTTGTATTTCTAGCCCCAATACCAACTCTGCCTTCTCAGTGCAGCTGGCTGTAATTTCCCCTTCTGGTCCCGTGCCCTCCCGTCTCTCTTCCGCAGAGCTCAGAAGAGTGGCTGTGTATTTGCAGTCTACCATGCCCACCACCTTTTTTAAGCAGATGTGTTGGAAAGTCATCCTTCTGAAAAGCCCCAAGTAGATGTGGGATATAGATACTTAGTCTCCCCCTAGGTCTGGTATCACTGTGAAGATGTTACTCTGGGCTTGATAATTCATTACATGGGAAAATCCTGGTGTTGTAGAGAAAAATCTGTAGACTGTTGCAAGAGGTCATGAGAGAGAATTTGTTCACAGATGGGGGTGATGAGAAAAGAAATGTGCTTGAAGAAGCTAATAAGTGATGGGAGGGTTGGAGCAGCCTGGTGTGTCTTGCCACGTTCTCCCTGACTTTCAGGGGAGTCCAGTCCAGCCAACAAACATTCCTTCAAGGTGGCTGTATGTGTTGCTACCCACTGCTGGGTTCTCCCAGCGTAACGTGATCACATGCAAAATTAGAGTTTTTAAAATACATATGTATTTTTCTTTGGAAATATCGTGGCCATATTAATAACATTAAACACAACAGTAGAAAGCACACACTTGAGATGGAGGAACACTGGTTACCTAAGATTACAGACATTTATATAATGCTGATGACACTCAGATGGATCTCATAGTCCTGCCAGCAGGAGGAGGGAGAACAGTGGCACTTTGCCAGGAACTGAACTGCATTCATAGAGGAAAAAAATAAACAACACAAGCATTTAATAAATTCCATTCAGTTCATTTGGCCAAGAAATTAAAAACATCAATAACTTACATATAATTAAATATTATTTAAGCAATATTGTGCTTTAAATTATTTTCAGAAATTATGCTAAACCACGTTCGCACTGCCCCTGGCAAAAGTTGGAGGAGAATAAATAAGGTTTTCCTGGGCTCTGTCTTTCAGCCTAGGTGTAAGGTTCAAGGCTGCAGGGTTTGAGACTTCTGGTCCAAGTACTTCATGAAATCCATGACCCACTTCTCCCTGGGGTCAGCACAGATCTCCTTATTGACAATGGTCTTGAAGCTGTGGGGAGGAGGCACGGTTAGATGGAGTGCTCTGAGCAGTCTGCTGAGTGTGACCCATTGGTCCCCAGACCTCACCGGCTCTTGTTTCCTAGATGAGGAGGCTGCATGGCAGGGAGGAGGGTGGAGAAGGGTGGGAGGCAGAAGCCTCAGGAGAAGGTCCTGCTCTCACTGTTTGAGCTGAATCTCTCGGGGTTCCTGGCTAACTGAATTGGGGACACTCTCTTGACTCCTAGAAAATTATGGATTCTCTAAAGGGCTGTTTGTCTGACTCGTGTGGCCCTGAGCCTTGACCCTTCTTCCCAGCTCCTCAGATAGAATACTTCTATGGGGCTGTGGGCATGGTCATGGTTCACTTACATCACAGCTTCTTGGGGACACTGGGCGTTGGTGAGTCTCTTGTAACTCTTCAACCTCCGGATAGGGATCTTCTGACCAGACAAGTTATAGCAGCAGGTGATTGGGATGAACACCGAATCTGAAGGCAATTTTGCAAAGAATGAGGTGGTTACGAGACCCTGCAGTGCGCTCTCAGAAAGGAGGGGAAAGCTGGTGTGCATCTATCTCCAAGTCATAGCTCCCAAGTTCTGAGTCTAGATTCCAGTGACAAAATATGGCCTGGAGTCAGTGTCCTCCATTGTACAACAATCACTGTTGATTGCGGATGGAGAAATCTCATTGACTAATCCTAGACTTCTGATACCAGGAAATTAAGTTCTAAGACCTTTCTGCCCAGCTTCTTGTTCCCATGGGCTTAGAGACAACATACTCTTGGGCTGAGAAGCCTCTGGGTTATCCACATATGGCTGTTGTTCTAGAAGCTACTCTGGACCATGACACCAAATGGCCACTTCAAGCCATCATTCATCCACTCCTCTACCGCTTGAGATACGCTTCTCACCCACAGGACCACTCTGGGTCACTTCCACACACAGAGGGTGCAGTAGCTGTAGTGACTGCACACATCATCTCATCCCGAAGCTGGTGTCAGGGGAGAACTTGGAGGCTGGCCTCGGTGTGCTGAGTACTTGCTTCTGGCTCTCTGACTAGCTGCTGGTTCTTCCTAGTTTGTCTTGTAGTCTCACTCTCATCTTCACAGTGCAGACTATGCAGCAGCTCTAGGATACCTTGTGGTCAGAAGTTAGTGTGCATGACTGCTAAGCCACTAACCTTAGGAAAGGGAGGCCTTACCTGGTCCAGCCAGCTCCTGGGGGCTGATGGAGGCAGCTGTGAGCAGCAGGCACAGCAGTGCTGCGGAGATCTTCATGTTGATGGCAAGGACTTCAGAGTGAGAGCTGGAGGCTTCTGGGTTGGTCTCAGGCTCTCTGCTCCTCTGGTGGCTGTGCCTTCATTTATAGGGAGCAGGGAGCCTGTTGGGTCATGCCCAATGGAAGATGAAGTAAGATCCTCACTGTGCTGAGTAGGCATCAGACCCTGGGGTGACTTCCTGACAGGGAGAAGGAAGCTTACAGTTTCTATCTTTTGCCAGTTTAGACTGTGGAACTGAAGGAGAAAAGGTGTGCAGCTGGGCCCAGCAACGTGGAGGAAGTGATGTCACTGGGTGAAGAGCTCTGATTTTGTTGAAATGGAGAAATGTTCTATAGAGAAGATGGAATGGAAATTAAAGTCACAGTGGAATAAAGAGAGCCTGGGACCTGGACCTGGGAGGGTACCAGGTGGCTGGGCACATTGTCCAAGCCTTTGTCTCTGCCCTCTTTTTTTAGAATTTTTTACTTGAATTTTTGTGTATTTTGTATAGAACATCTTCATCAGTCTTAATCAGCTTCATACCCGTTTCTCCACTGACACCCTCCCATATCTCCCCCTCCACTAGGATTTATGAATTCTGTCATTTGTGTTAAAGCCTATTGTGTCATCAGTATCTCCAGACATCCCTCAGTGCAAAGTTCATCTGCTGGGGTCTAGGCAGCCTATCTAGAGTCCCACCATTTAAGAAGATCAGCTCTTCCTCACCCAGTAGTAATGAATTGCCAATAATTCTTTGACTAAGATTAGGGCCTGCTGTCCATTTCCACAGTTCTGTGCTGGGGTTTTGTCTGCTTGAGTTTGCATGGGTCTTGTGCATGCTGACACCATTGCTGTTGGTTCATATGAGTAAGTCCCAGGAGCCTGTAGAACTCTATCTCCATATGGTTGTGCACCTCCTCCCTTGGCTCTTACAATCTTTCTGCCCTCTCTTCCGCAATGGTACCTGAGCCCTGGCTGGGTGGAGTTTAATATGAGTCCTGTCCAAGGACCCACATTCTGTAGACTCTTACTCTCCATACTTTGGCCATTTGTGACCTTTTGTATTCCTGGCCCTTTGTTGCCTGAGGGAGCATCATTGAGAACTGATAGATACATTATTGTCCTCTTCATCCCTTGTTCTATGTTCCATGAGGCTTAGGTGTAGAGGTTGCATTGTAGATGTACCACTCAGGCTTGGGCAATTCACAGACAGCTAGTTCCACTAGTTGTGGAACTCTGTAATTGTCTCCTAATAGTCTGGTGCAAAAGAAGCTTCTTTGATGAGTGGTGACTGGCATACTTGTCTGTCAATATAAGGATCCATATTTTGCACATAGTAAGGAATTACATTTGTCTAGGGATGTGACAGCCTTGGGGTTCTCTCTAAGATCTATGACCTCTCCAGCCATGTGTATTTGACTGCTTACAGTACCACACATGAGTTTCTTCCCATTGAATGGGCTTTAAGTCCAATTAGGTAGCTGTTGATTATCCCCAAGATAAATGTGCCACACTGCACCCATGCCATTTGCTGTACTGGTCATTGAGACTCCCTTCTCAGGTGATTCTAGACTTTGTCAAGTTGACAGTTAAAACTAACCATCACAGCTACTATAGCTATTTGTATATAATCTTTTGTGTGGACCTAAGCTAATTCATTTAGGTAAATACTTAGGAGAATGATTGATAGATCATGTGGTATGAATGTTTAACTTTGTAAGACCCAACACACGGTATTCCTAAGTGGCTACACCACTTGTAGCTCCACAGCAGCAAATGGATGAGTGTCTATTGTTCTACAGCCTATCAATATTTGGTATCATCATGTTAAAAATATTTAAATTATTCCAATAGGTAAATATCTGCATCTTGCTTAGTTTGTTACTCCATATGTATACCGGTGAACACCCTTTTTATTCTTATTTCTTCTCTATATATCTTCTTTGGAAAAGTTTGTTTAGATTTAGTTCCTCTTATATTTTTCCATCCAAATCCTCTTTCAAGTATTTTATCCCAATCTATGGCTTCAAATTCTTTCAACAGCATCTTTTTACAAAATATTTTACTTATTATTTTTATTTTGTGTGTGTTGAGTATATTGCCTGCATGTATGTGAGTGCACCTGTGTTGTGCAATGCCACGGAGGTCAGAAGAGGGCTTCGGATTCCCCTGGAACTGGGGTTAAGGACTCTTCGTAGCCGCCATGTTGGTGCTGGGAATCGAACCCAGGTCCTCTGCAAGAGCAGCCAGTGCTCTTAACTGCTGAGCCCTCTCTCCAGCCCTGGATATTTTCATTTTAATAAGATCGAATTTATCGAGTGTTTTGATCATGGAGTGTGCTTTGGATGTTGCACATACAAGGTCAGCATCAAATTCAGTGTCACCTAGATTTTGCTTCATTTCGTCTTCCAGAAGTTGTATAATTTTGAATTTTAAGCTGTACATAGATTTATGTCTATGATTCATTTCACTCTAATTTTTGTGAAAAGTGTAAGTTCTGTATCTAGACTCATTTTCATTTTCGCTCTTGTGCCCGGTCATGATACCACCATTTGTTGAAGAGACTATCCTTTCTCCTTGGACTGCCTTTGTTGCTTTTCAATGGTGAGCTGTACGGCTCTGCTTCTGGGCAGGCTGTTCTGTCTCATTGATCTTTTTTCTATTATATGAGCAGTTCCACAGTCTCTTGAGTACTACAGCTATCTGGATACATCAGATAATGTGAATTCTCAGACTTTGTTTCTTCAGTGTTTTAACTAATCTGGATCTTTTGCCTCTCTGTATACATTTTACAGTTTGTCAATGTCCACCAAATAACTTGAGATTTTGGCTGAAATTTTGTTGAATGCAGAAGTCAGCTGGGGAAGAGCTGAGAGACTGATTGACTCTCCCACTGAGATTCCCTCCATTAACTTAGATCTTTCTCCTTTCACAGAGTTTCATTGCTTTTCATATTCTCTCTCTCTCTCTCTCTCTCTCTCTCTCTCTCTCTCTCT